AATCAGGAGAAAAGAAACAAAGAAATCATCCCCCATCTCTAACTGCCCCCCTCCCCGTTTTAACCTAAGGTAAGTACATAACCACAAAATTGTCTGTGTTGCTTTCCTAAAAATAAATGAATAAATTCAATCCCCTGAGTTTGAGCAAGGCAAAGTAAACTTAAATCAAATCAAATTTTGGCTAAGCCTTCTGCTAGTATTATGGGGTTATTGATACCTAGCCTAAAGAAACAACGAGGATGCAGATGCCTGCCCCGTGGCAGAAGTCATTAACATACAGAATTCAGAAGTGGCAAACTACGACTTCTGAATAAGAATGATTAGATAGCTCCTAAGATAGCTGGCATGTATGGCCTCCAATGGGGTAGTTCACTTTGGCTTGTCAAAAAGTTTAGTTACAGGACTAGCAAGCTTTAATTAAAAGTTTAAGCCTTTGAATTAACCGAAGTTTGTTGAACAGAAAAGTTCATTGTTGAGGTCACTTCAGTCATCTGGGCTCATAACAAAAAAAGCGATTTGAAACCATACAGAGAAAATCTAGCAGCACATAGACATTTTAAGAATGAGGCAGGGCACAGCAGCTAAAAATACGACGTGAGAAACAGGTAAGAAATCAAAGGCTTCTGATTACAAACAGAAGCTCACATAGGCTGTCATCATTTGTAAGAAAAAAGTTCGCTATTGCTCTACTGCAATTCAAGTAGAACACACTGCAACTAGGAATCACACAGAAACTTTTCAGGGTTTTAAGTAAAAATGTTAACAGTTGTTTTTGTAAAAAAACCCAACACACCCACAAAACCAATTCCCTGTTTCAAAGAATAATATATCTGATCTGAAAGCAGTTTATGATATTTCTGTACTATAATAGATTACTAAATTGTCTGCAACAGCTCTTAAAGTTTAGTGCCTGGGAGCATTAGACATCTCAGCAACACAAATCACTCATCTGCTCTAAATTCTTTTAAGATGGTGTTAAAAAAAACACCAACCCAAGGAAAAAAAAAACCACCAACACACTCCTACAGGTAAAAAAAATTGCACTCTTATTAGTTCTTATTGCTCCATTTCCAGATGATAGCTTACCTTGGACTTGACATACTGATTGTAGCTCTCTTATCAGAACACCCTAACCCTGCCATAAAATCTCAACCACTTAATTGTAAAGCAGCTATGGAGCTATACCAAGTCACAGCTGCACAATCAAAAGACTGAAGTATGTGCTTACCACATGGTAAGCCAAATGAACCTGTGCTAATTCTGCCGTTGCTCTATGCACAGCCAAACTGGCCCTTTAACAGGAGTGGGAATTTCCCATACACAGCAGGAACTACTCCTAACATCCCCCACAGCCTCCCCCACCCAGGAAATGGGGCCTTCAGCTTCAGGCAGATCCCGAGGTTTTCAGTCACCTTCCTAGAGTAAGTCAGTAAGAACATGCCACTGTACACAGGATGAATCTCAGCTCAAACGTTAGGAAAAGCTGATACAGAAAAGGAGGAAGGAAGAAGTTTCATTGTGGAAAGAGCAGGAGCTGACAGACAATACAAGAACGCAATGGAAACATGGAGGCAAATGGTGTATAGGTCAGGCTCCTAGTACTTGTGTGTTTTCGATAAAAAAAACCCCAACCCACAGTCAACTACTTCATTTAGTTAAAAAAGCATCTGAGGGAACAAACAAATTGTGTAGTACCTAAAACACAAGTCTGGCGTTGCCTTTTTCCAAACCATTTTCTCACATGTAAAAATGACTATATTTGCCTTCAAAATTAGCCCAGAAACAATTGCCACTGAGAGTAAACAAAATATAAATCAAATTTTATGAGGCGTTTACACAAGCAAGTTAGAAAACCTAGCCTATTAATAGAGTGCACATATACCCAGGACTGATACTACCTACTAAATTAAGAACTTAAGCTCTGTATATTATTCAGTACTCCTGAAGTACCTGTATGCTGTTTGAGAAAAGTCTAATATGTGTATCCTATTAAACATACTTCTGTGTATTAGGTGCAATTAGTAAGTTTGAGCCAGTTCTGCTTTGATTAGAGTATCTTAGCTATGCAACACAAAGTAATGACTTCACCTTTGTTTTGGGATTATTTATACCAAGTTGTATTTTCCTTCTTACAGATTTCATTTACAACAAATAAGCTGGCAACAACAGTCCAATTCAGGTTCTAATCAGTCTTAAGCATACATATCCCACTGAAAGTCAATAAAGGGATTTTAGTTTGAATGGGCTATTTCTTCACAAGCAGGTTATGAACTGCAGTTCTTTCGCTTTCTTTTTAGAAAAGAATTAAAAAAAACCAGGAATTTGTTCAGCGTATAGAAGACATGACTGTTTTTAAACATGAGCACAGCAGCCATGTAAACAGCAAGGATTGTATCTACAACAAAATATACTGTAAAGATTAGCCCAAAAATTTAGTGATAACCTTCTTTTTACCTCCCTCACTCATGTTGAAATTAAACTATTTCCATTTTGAATGTTTTCTCTTACACTGTGAAGTTGGCCAAACTATAAATGCATCTTCTTCAGTATAAATAAATAAAATCAAGTATGCGTTTAACTTTTTAAACACGTATAATCCACATATAATCAAGATATTACAAAACCCTGAAATTCATGATTTTCAGAAGCTCAATTATCAAAATCCTGCTCAGATGAAAGTTTGACTCCTCCTTATCAGTTTATGACCTTTGCTGTAGAGATTATTGTACAGTTTGTCAGAACTTTCTCAAACAGCAAGAACTGATGATTCTCAAGTTGCTTTTCATCCTAGTTCCTACAATGGAAAAGCCAAATAAAATTACAAGGTCTGTTGACAGTCACAAGCTACGACTAGATCTACAAGTCACTAGATACAGTAGCTATATATCTAATTAATACATCATGCACCAACAGACTTCACTAGGAAAATGGCACACGCTAGACATTGCCATGTACACATTTTTAAATTTACTGATCATAGCAGTCATGAACTCACTTAACCAATAATCAAGACTAGCCCAAATAGGGGTAGATAGTACTACTCAAACTTTATTATTGTCATATGTTGTCAGAAAATGTGAAGGAAGTTGATAATGCATCGTTTAAAATTTATTGAAAGGAAGATCTAGAACTGAAGGACTGAGAACCACAATTCCATAAAAGAAATCATCTCTGAAAATGCCATTCTGTCCACTGTATTATCTTTACTACTGTAACAAATATACTTTGATAACTGTTGACAGCTTTTACAATGTCTTGCATAATTCTTGCTACCAAAGGCGGCGGGGGGGGGGGGAACGGGATGACATGACATAGGAGAAAAATAAAAGGTCATTAGATGGCTAACACCTTTTAAAAATTTATACTAAAAAACACGACCTAAGTTTTGAACAACTTTCACGAGCGGATTGTTTCCAGAAACATCTAAGGAAGGATACATCACAATGATCAGTTTTGAAACTGGAGTACACTGGGCATCTAGTGATAGATCACTAGATATCCAAACCCATACAAGATGTACAACAAGACCTGAAGTTATTTTGTATGCAGCACTGTGTATTCACTATGAACCAAGCATCTACTATGCTTGCGCTTGATGGCAATCTTCCATTTCTTTCACTTGGCCTAAAACGAATGAACTGTCGTTAGTGCATACATGCTTTTAGGAATCACATTTGAATTACGCAGCAAAACATTAAGGCAACAAAGCTAAGCCCAATTCCTTTTCTGGGTAGGATGAGGAAAGATTGTACCTTCAGACATATACACTTACCATCACTCTCTGCCCTGACTAGCAGGGACATGCCCTTCAGCCTCTCCACGTAGCAAGAGGACACATGCCCTGTGCCTCGATCATCCCACTGGCGGTCCTCATTTAGCGTGTAAACCTTCACCCTCCGCCGGGTGTCAGTCATCCTGCCGCCTGCCACACCACAGCCACCACTCTGGCTTGCAATTGCTGGAGGAGCAGGAGGCTGGTCGGGGGCTAGGCCCCCCTCAAAGGAGGGGAGCGGGAAAGAAGGTAGCAGCCCCACACGGGCACGCCAAGCAAGCTCTTCTTACTCCTCTTCAGTGCTCCAACGGGATCCTCATTGTCGAGGGTAACAGAGGATTAGGGGGCGCAGGGGAAGAGGGGGAACAAGAAAAGAGGTGAAGATGTGAAAGGGGAGCTGCTCCAGGCACAGTCAGGCGCTGCACAAAAGGCGAGTAAGCCTACGCCGGGGAGAGCCGCAGAGAGGAAAGAGGGTCTTTGCAGGGTGAAGGGCAGGCAGGAGAGGCGGCAAAGAAGGGATCCTGGAGGAGAAGTGGATCCACAGGAGTGGAAGCAACGGTGGACAGCAGACGGCACGGGCAGCAACGGGCACCCGGCCCGGGGTGACAGAAGCAGGCGACCCTGGAGGCCGGGGCCCTGGAGAAGGAAGCAGGCAGGAGACTGGCGAGGCCGGGGCGCAGCAGGCGGGGGAGACA